ATGACGACTATGATGATGATACCTCCTTCACAGAGCTGTTGTGAGGATTAAATGAAGCATGTAAATGCTTAGGACAGTGCCTGGCACATTACTGATACGTAAGTTTTTGCTATTAGCATTATTATTGCAGTTATTGTTACCTCCCTGAATTGAGAGTGAGCTCCTCTGGCGGTAGACAGTGTCTGGGCCCCCTTTGTGTCCCCAGCATTTTCCCCCGGCACACAGTAGGTGCACAACACATGCTTGTTGAGTCAGAGTTATGTGGAGGCACATATCAAGGTGCTCCGAGGAAGATCATCCTGAATATTTAGAGATGAACTGTCATTCCCACCCAGCTGGTGTTAAAATGTTCAGCGGGCTGAGGTTGCTCAAAAATAGACTGGGCATTCTGGAGGGATGTGTGGGCGTGGTGGCTGGGGCTACACGCCCTGCAGGTGGTGTGGTCATGCTAAGATTCTGTGATACGCATCTCCCTCTTTCCAAGGGGCCCTCGGCCAGGGCAGCCAGCTGGCGAGGGAGGGGCAGGGATCACCCTTGCCCCCTTTTCAAATGGGGAACCAAGAGGCACTCCCTATTATGTTCCTCTTCCCAGCCAGAGTGTTTCTGGGACTCTTTCTATCCGGCCAGGCCAGTCTGCCTTTCCTGGGACATGCAGAAGGCTCTGGCAAAACTTGATGCAAATAGTGCTTGATTTCCTGGGCTAAAATTACATCTTGAGTCAATTTTCATAAAATGCGGTGACAGATTTAGGTGCCAGGAAGACGGAGCTTTCTCAGAAGGCATTAAAATGACCCAAACGGTTAAAATCACCTGAAATCCAGCAGCCAGGGGCTGCGAGAACAGCTTTCCTCCTTCTGAGGCCTCGTGCACACCGGGGGTCTGGGCCCTGCCTGGAGAAACTGCTGTGCCTGCACTTGACTCCCTCCGGTCACAGGATGATTAGCTCTCGGCCAGGATGCAGCTAACAGACGTTTTGCAATGAACTAGCAGGGGGAGTGGTGAGAAGGGGTTCCTGTTTACTCGCAAAGGCAGTCGACCATCCCAGGGGCAGTTCCATAGAGATAGATCTGGATTTTTCTTTAAATTCTCCACCCCTGATACTTTTCTCTGGGGGTCACCCAGAGAATCAGGCAAAGAAGTAGGCCCTTGATATGGCTGAATGCATCTTCCCTTCTCCAGAAACAGCTTGAAGCCTATGTCCTAGGAGTACCCATGTGGCTGAGCCCTGCCAGTTGCCCCTGAAGGCTGGGCACGGTGCTGATTGTCTCTCGTAAATGGCATCAGTCTCCTTGATCTCTAGGGAACCTCCTGCTCTGACATTCTGACCCCCTGATCCCAGCTGTCCTCAGCCTGATAGCCATGAGCTCCCTTCAGTTGCCTCTTCCTGTATCTTGCCAGCCTCACACCCTGAACGCCAGTATCACTCATCTGCTCACTGTCTGTTCTGGATGGTCTCTGTTTGCCCCTCTGAATCCACTCCCGGCCCTTCTCCACCCTACTCTGTGCCCGGGAGGCTGACATCTGTGGACTGCATCAACGGTCCCCCGCTTTAGGTCTTCTAGTGGGATTCCACCAGTGGGAGGCGCTGGCAAGGGAGCAGAGGGTGGGAAGAGGGTGAGGTTGCCTGAGCTGACCGTGTCCTCCACTGAGGGCCCCTGCTCCTGTCAGGAAGCGTCCTTGCAGTTCCAGGAACCACCCCCTCCCCCTACCTCCTCAGGCCTGGAGTAGCAACAGCTTCCCACCGATGCCAGCCCGTGATTCATCACCCCTCATTGGTTTCCCTAAACGCTGTCCACTTCTTTACAAACAGCCCTTTTTTACATCCAACTACCCAGGACCTGGACTGACCTCATCCCAGCCTCCCTCTGGGCCTTTGCTTACACCACCATCTTTGCTGCTGGGCCCTCGTGCCATGTCCCCCAGCTTCACTGAAACCCAGCTCGGCTCAGCTCCTCCGAGTGGATGCTCCCACTGCTCTGGGGTCCAGTGCCCTGATCCTGCCACCTGATTCCAGTCCTGGCCCTCTCTATAGAATGCGGAGGTTGAACCAGATGACCCCGGAAATTCCTTCCGACCCACATTCTCCTCTGCTCCACATCATGCACCCCTTAACCAGATGGCTTGGGTTTAGGTTCAAATTCTATTTTTTAAAAATCCAATGAGCTATCAAAGCGCTTTAGCCAAACATGGCATTCTGGCTTAACTTTCTCTCCTCTGAACTCCCATTTTATTCTCATCGATACTTCTCACCAATTCCTCTGTTAGGATTATGCATGCACGTGACTCTCCCCTTCCAGGCTGCAAACTCCCAGCTCATGTTTCTGGTGAAGCTCTATTCTTTCGACCACCTCCCTCTTTCCCCGGGCACCTCATAAATGCTTATTGTCACAAATATTGACTGAAATGGGGTGGGGGGATGACTGGCAAGGCTCCCAACACTCTGGATGATGCTACACAATGATATTTACCAAGCAATGACTACGCACCAGGCATGTTACATCCATCATCTTGTTTCACCCTCACCACAGACCTAAAAGGTAGGTGTTATCCACAAACTATACATGTAGAAACTGAGGCACAGAGAGGTTAAGCAACTTGCTCCAGGTGCCAGCTCCAGAAAGGGCTGGAGCCGGGAGCAAAGCACAGATGTATCTGACACCAAGGCCTCCCACCTTTCCTCTGCTCCACCCTGCGGGTGCGTGTGGTAACAAGATGCAACGCGGACGATCGGACCCTGACCCAAAGGGAGACAAGTCTCAATTACAGAACGTAATTAATGGCCAGTGGAGCAGTGCCCTTCTGAAGAGGCCCTTCTAGACTTTTCTGAATGAATCACTAAGACATTAGCACATTCCTGCTTTCTGTGAAGCTCGGCCAAAAGGCCTTAAAAGTAATTAGTTCACTTAAGTAGGCTAAACGTTTCCCCAGCAATCTGGTTTACACTTTAATTGGAGTCTTGGAGAGGGCAAAAAAGTCAACTTTAGTCCAGCCGCTGTGGAAATATTTCCCATGTATTTTATGGATAAAATTCATCCTTTGGCCACTTACTTCTGCCAAGCCTGGGGAGGGAGGAGCAGGGAGCAGGGCCAATCTTCCTCAGTAAAAAGAGGAGGATTGGCAACAGGTGTTAGCTCAGGGCTAATCTTCCTCACAAAAACAAACAAACAAAAAGAAATGTTAGATTGGGTAGCCAAGGAAGGCCTTGATAGGGTGACGTCTTAGTCAAGATCTGAGGGAAGCATGAAGGGGCCACACGGACTTCTGGGAAAAGAGCATTCCAGGAAGGAGGAATAGCAAGGGCAAAGGCCCTGAGGCAGGAAGAGGCGGGTGTGGCTGGAGCGGAGTGACGGAAAGGATGAGCAGTAGGAGATAAGGTCAGCCAGGTGAAGGAAGTCAATGGAAGGAAGTGGAGGGCCTGGTAGACCATCATAGAGACTATGGTTTTTCAAGATGGGAGGCACTGGAGGGCTCTGAGCAGAGGAGGGACAGAATTTGACTTGGGTTTTAACAGGATCCCTCTGGCTGCTGGGCCGGGAATAGACTGAAGGTCTAGGAGACCTGCAACCACCCACTAAAAGTCTGTGATTCTTGAGAGTGAGCCTTTCCAGTCAGCCCTCTTCTTATACACACTATCACAGGGGCAAAAGGCACACAGAGTGGGGTGAGGGCGATGCAATTGAGACAAGGCTGGAAAGGTGGGTTGTCCTGGGTTGTGGCCGAGCTTGGGAGCCAGGCTAAAGAGTTGGGACTTGATTCAAAGCAAAGGGGAGTCACTAACGGTTTCTGGGCAGGAAATCACCCAACTGAAGCCATGCTCACCTTAGTCAGAAACCATGGGAAGGCTGCTGTGGATTACACATGGTGCTAGATGCTGTACCATGTCTCAGGCCACCAGACAAAGAGATCTTGGTGGGCCTGGACTCCCTCTGTCTCCCTCTCAGACTCCCTGAGGACGGGGCTGTGTCTCCCCTCAGACTAGGGCTCCCTGAGGGCAGGGCTGTGTCTCCCCCTCAGACTGGGGCTCCCTGAGGACAGGGCTGTGTCTCCCCT